GTTGTTCACATTCTGCTTAGCAGTTGAACTCAAGGAGCCGAGATGTTCTTTTATCTTAGGGATTTTATTTTCAGAGGCCAGGATCAGTGTCTGTCTTACTGAAGGTTAAAAGTAACAAGTTGTCAGACAGCCACTGGTTAACTTTTGTGACACATTTTATAAGAGAGGTGATCTTGTGGGTGGTGCAGTCATTAAAGGAGCAGTATAACTGCAGGATCTTATCAATGTAGACATAACTGGAGCACAATGAATAAAATCAGAAGCACATTTATTATGAATATATAGATTTTTTATTTGTCCTGTCAGCTGACAGGAGTTCAACTTGAAAGAACTCCGATGTTATTTGATCTTTCTCAGGTTATTCAAGTCTTCTGTAGTAAAAGATTGTTCCAAACTCGTTCAGATTCAGTGAACGTTCCACTCTGTACTCATTTCTTCAGACAAACTGTAGAAAGGTCTCTATAAATCAATGTAACACTGCAAACACACGCATAGGAACGCCGTGTTTTAAAGTCACTGCAGCTTCAAACACTGACAGTGAACAGTTGATTGAAGAAATACTGAAAACAGAGCAGGAAGAGCATAATTTCTTTAAATGTTTAAAATCTAAAGTAGGTCAAAGTCAGAAAGCTGTCTCAATGAAGGACAATCAAAACGTTTTTATTCAAAGGTCTAGAATTCACTGAAGGAAAGCCTACCACCTGCCACATTTCATGCCCGAGTTTCTGACTTGGATCATCTTATGTTGAGAAGTGATAAAGTTGTATACGTTTTTTTGTCAAACCCTTAAAATAACGACTCTCAGCTACTACCACACCAAATCTTTTAGTATATTTGCGTTTTAAGGCAAATATGCTAACCCTGGTTGTGTTAGCTTTGAGCCGCCTCAWCGTGGACAGGGATCATCATGTTAAACATGTGCAAATGTAATTTTGTTGTATTTGCAACACAATAATGGACTTCATTTAACTGAAAGGAAAATACCGAAGGTTGTAACGGACCATCCAGCAGTACGACGCTGAAGACGCGAGGGAAAGACAACAGAGAAGGGTAAGCTAATGTTAGCTTGTTGTTGCTCGCTACAGTTGATGTTTAGTTGAACTCGTGTGAAAAAATATATATATATTTGTCATAATCTCATCTGTGTGACGCAACACACCCGGCCAGTGAACCAATCAATGGACAACAGTAGATGACCTCAAATCAGGCCGGCCAATAAGGTCTCGAGTTGGTCTGGAACTTGGCAATAAGGGAAACACACTGAACCTGGGTTTGAACCTGGGTCGGGTCGGGCCTTGTAGTGCAAAAATGACATTAACTCAATACCTGTAAAATAGGGTTGGGCAAAATCGTATCGTGTGCAATTAATCATCAGAAAAAATGTAATCGATTACTTTTTGGCACTTGACAATTATTACGATTAATGCCACCAGGCAGACTGACAGGAGATTTCCCCGGTCAGTCTGCCCGATGCTCCTCTCCGCTTCAAATAAGTTATTATCATAATAACTCTGATTTTACTTGGCCTATCAACACAATTGAAAAGTTGATGTATAGCCTGAAGTCTGTACTTTTGACACAATTTAGAACAGATTTTAACGGAGAGTAAATCTATCCCACTAGAGTGATTTWAAYTGGTCATGTGACTAGGATATGAAGGCAGCAGGGACTACAGGGGGTTAATCGTCATATTAATCGTTATCGGCTAAATACCACAATTAATMGTGATTRATTTTTTTGCCAATATCGCCCAACCCTACTGTAAAATAAATTGAGTTATATACATGTTTGCGTTTAAGGTTTTTGAGCAGTGGTGGCCATCTTGAAAAGGATAGACTCCAAAAGTCCATGAGCTGTAGAGCCTGCGATTGATTTGAGTGTTACATTACAATCTGTCCACCAGTTTATCAGAGGTTTTCCCAACAAAACAAACACACACATGCATACACAAACATGTGCAAAAAAAACCTTCCTGCTCACCACGAAAAGGAAAAGGGCAAAAAAGAACCAACCAACCAACCAACCAACCAAAAACAACAACAATAAAGCATTCCAGTTTCTCTCCACTGAAACCACAGGATGAGTAAGTCATCTATTATTAAATATACCTCTATGTCTGTTTCAATCAATAATATCTTTCTAAAAACTCAAAAGCTTCAACAGAATTTACGAAGGTGTAAAAAAGCAAAGAGCTCACTCAGTGAGTCACTGGGAAATAATGTTACAAAAATATGTCAACTCTACGAATACAACAGATTAAAAGGAAAAAGGGTTCATTGCAAGCAGGTGACTTGATTAGAACAAACTTTTCTCTCTCTCTCTCTCTACAAAAAAAAAAAAATTACCCTGTAAGACGATTAATTGAATTTACAGAAAAGCAGAGCTCTGAAGCTGGAAAACAGCCAGTKTTCTTACTGTAACGCTACTTGTGGAACTTGTTTTTTCAATTTCTTGACAGCGAGTCTTTAGTCACAGCCTTTATACATAGGATTTAAAGTACGAAAAAAAACAACAACAAAGCAGCATGTATTATCAGTYGTATATAGATTTGTTTGATAAGTTTTGATCACATAAATGTTACTTTCACAGTACAACTACTCAGTGTAAGCGTGCCTTTAAAAGATGTTATTACGTTTTACAAACTGAATTTAATTTTGTTCGTAAATGTGTGGCGGGTGTGGGTTAGTCTCATTGTTGGAAGAAGACACCGCTGACAATGAACGCCATACGATGAGCAGGGGGGTGAATTATTGAAGTGGCCGAGACAGAGAAAGGACAAAGAAGGGAGGTGACAAGAAAGGAGAGAAATGTGAGGAGGAAAACAAAATGCCTGAGGAGGGAGATGCTAACCGGACATTCTGGGTTGGATTCCACCTCTCCGAAGGCAGCTCTCCGCTCTGAGGGTCGTCCACTGGAGGATGCAATATAGAAATACACACGTCTCCATTCTAAAACAGAAGAAACCAACTCATTTCACTCACAGCTTATTATATAAACTGTTAAAAGCAAACATTGTATTAGTCAGGTCATGAAACTTTACCTCATAGATGTTTGGGTGCCACATTTTGGTGAGGAAGCGGAAAGCAGGTGGAGAGTATGGGTAGTCTGTAGGAAACTTGATTCGAGCCTTGGGAAATTAAACATTTATTTTTGTTATTTTGTTTATTGCAGACATTATTTTTTCATGTTTTGAGAATGTTAAGCTTACCTTGAAATACCCGCCTTCATAATGAGTGTTTGGTGGTCCAAAAATGGCCACTTCCCAGTTGTATAAATCAGCCTCATCCACCAGATTTATTTTTTGTTATTTTGTTTATTGCAGACATTATTTTTCATGTTTTGAGAATTTTAAGCTTACCTTGAAATATCCGCCTTCATAATGAGTGTTTGGTGGTCCAAAAATGGCCACTTCCCAGTTGTATAAATCAGCCTCATCCACCAGAGTTATTTTAAATCCCTCGACAGGCTCTTCCTGGAGGCTTTTCATTTCCAACATCAGAGCTTTCTGTGAACTGGCTACATGAGAGGGGTCGTGTTGGGCCATCACTGGGCTCTAAAGCTAATCTGGACTCGACAGCTTTTGTTTACACGAACACGACAGAGTTAGTTTGACCAACAAACAACCTACAGCGATAACAACTTCTTTTTTTCCACCCCCCGACGCTCGCGGGCAGCGAAAACAGGCCGAACCTTAGCAAAACAAAGACTGCGCTGGCCTGTTCCCGAATTTTAGGTATTATTTCACAGTGTCAGTACTCAGAAAAGAAGGAAGTAGGAAAAACCATTGTGGCGGACCAGTTCCTCTAGCTTTAGGCGATTTACCTGGCAGGGCAGCCGCGGATATAAGCCGTAAATCTACTGGTGGCTAATGGAAGCTAAAAAAGCTCCGTCCCTTACCGATCCAAGACGATCTATCCGCGGCGGAAACACTTTCCTAACTACACAAAATAATAACTTTAAGAGGAATATCACAAGTTCTCGTATGAAACTTCACTAAACTACAACTCTGACAACAGTGACTGAAGCTTTCACAGGACACTGACTGAGTAGGGAGAAGTGTTGCTGGAAGGACTCCTCTGTACTCAGGTAATGGCGCCTGTTGTTGTTTGGGATTTGTAGTCACATTTGAGTCTTTTTGTAGTCTTTTGTTTTTGATGTAAATTTTCCAGAGCGAATATAATCTGGGCATAATCTGGAGTCAGTTAGAAGTGCAACATTCCTCAACTTTAATTTACAAATATAATTTTAAGMAACATTATACTGTTTCTTTCAGCTATCCAAAAAACTTCTCCTGTGCTAAATAATGCAATATATGTTAACATTTTCCCATCATATGACTCATAGTTAGGCAGCAGCTTGAAAATCAAATGAGCAAGTATTTGTAATTCATCCTTAAATTTAGATGAAAACAAGTTAACATTGACGTAAACTACAACAATTACAGAAARGCATATATTTTTAATCTTGTCGGTGATTAGATAAAATAGTTCAATAGCAGGCACGTCTCTTGTCAAAGCTCCTGTCACAACACTGTTTGCTTTGGTGTTCAGTGTTTTTATTGAAGTGCTCTTAAATATCGAGTCATTTGTAAATTATCTGCAATTTTTGTCCAAAAAACAATTATTAGCATCAAGTAAACAGTCATAAATTACCAAATTACAAACAGTAAAACATCAGGCGGACAAGCTGTAGTTTATTTTGCTCCGCGATTGTGACGTTTAAATGTTGCGACATTTTTTCAACGAAGGCGTCTTTTAGGTGGCTTATAAGTGCCTTAGTAAAAAAAAAAGTTTTTAAACGTTATTTCATCAAGTGTTAAATTAACTTTTTAAGTAATGAAGTAAGTAACTATTAAAATTAATTTTTAAGTAATGAAGTAAGTAACTATTAAAATTAATAAATATGTTACGTTCTTAGCGATAGAGTTTAGTCTGTTGAGAATCAGACGGTTACCTCTTATTTACGCGACACGCTCCATTCGGACCCCTYAAAAGCAGAAAGTTCGTGATGAGTCCGAAATCTCGACGCAGATCCCGCTCCAGGTCGRCAAGTCGGAACCGAGACCGGCCGAGCAGAACCAGAGTGAGCAAGTCTCGATCTCCGGACGAGAGGAGAGGTCGCAGTCGGTCTCCGGGCTCTAAAAGAACAGGCCGGGGTCGAGGCCGATCCAGCAGCGGGGCCTCAAGCCATGGCTCCCCCGTTCGACCTCGACAACGGGACCGCTCTTCTAGGTCCAGCAGCGGCTCGGACGGTGACAAAAGGGGGCGGCGAGCTCACCGTCAGAGCAGCAAGTCAAAGGATCGTTCATCCAGGTAACTTTCACATCACGTCATAGTTTGTAGTGAATTACCAGCCAGGTGTTCTTCAAAACAAGATAAAACATCCAGAAGTTAAATTAATCCACAGAAAACCGATCCACAGATTCAGAACAAACAAATCTATTGCTAAAGTCTCTGTATGATCAGAAAYTTCAGAACGCATTCAGAGGTTACTGGTTCACATTTTGACTTGTCAAAATGTTTGTGACAAAAGCTAATCTGTTTTAATTTTGGGAAACTAGTCAGTTTTCTCTGACAAAGTTTGTTCAGAGCCTTCTGATAGATATGTAATTATGATATAGCTTTAATTTGATGTAAAWGTAATAATATTCATGTTATTTTCCAGTCCAGATTCAGATAATTCCAAGATGAGGAGGAGGAGGAAGAAAATGGAGAATCYCAGCAGTCGATCTCGTGAGAGAGGAAAGGAAAGGTCTCAGTCCGGCTCCAACTCGAGTGATGGAAGCAGCGACAGAGAAAGGAGGAGGAGAAGAAGAGGAGGAGGAGGAAGTCCTGACAGAGGAAGTCCGTTCAGAGACAGACAGACGAGGAAGTGGGGCGAAGATCGATGGAAGAGCAGCAGGAACCAAGAAAGAAGACAAGACCGGGACAAAAGCCGGGAAAGAAAGAAGAAGAGTAAAGAGAGAGAGCGAGAACGAACCAGGACAAGCAAAGAACGGGTCGATGGAAACAGAGGGAGGCGGCGCTTCAGTTCGTCTGAGTCRTCGGACAGCTCCGGGTCAGAGGGCGAGAGCCGTGCAGTCAAAGAGAAACAGGAGAGGAAAAAACAAAGGGAGCTGATGAAAGCGCTGGAAACGCCAGAAGAGAAGCGAGCCAGGAGGTTGGCTAAGAAAGAAGCAAAAGAGAAGAAAAGGAGAGAAAAGATGGGTTGGAGTGAAGAATACATGGGATACACCAACGCAGACAATCCCTTTGGTGATAACAACCTGYTAGGCACATTCAAATGGCAAAAGGCGAGTTTGTTTTCCAGAAATGTTGGCGATTGTGTGTTTAGACTAAGCTTTGACATGTCGTCATGTTTTATTTACTTCGTGTTTCTTCTCAGGCATTGGATATAAAAGGCATTGGCCATCTTGGTGAAAAGGATCTTAAAGAAAGGAACAAATGCATTCAGGAGGAAAACCGCAGAGAACTGCAGAAGGTATGAAAAAATGTGAGGTTTGAATTCCAGAAGCAGCAAAATGTTTTTCTCTTGTTTGTTTTACTAGGTGTGTGTGTGTGTGTATGTTAAAGGTGAAACAGCTGCGATTAGAGCGGGAACGAGAGAAAGCCATGAGGGAGACGGAGCTGGAAATGCTGCAGAGAGAAAAAGAGGCAGAACACTTCAAAACCTGGGCCGAACAGGAAGACAACTTCCACCTGCAGCAGGCCAAACTGAGGTTAATTTGCAAAAATGTTCGCTTTTATATTTAGTCATTCTTTTCTGTGTCATAATRTTTTTGTTTGTTTCACACAAAAATGCTCTGTATTCACCCACTTGTCTGTTTAGGTCCAAGATAAGGATCCGTGACGGCCGAGCAAAGCCCATCGACCTTCTGGCAAAGTACATCAGTGCTGAGGATGATGATCTGGCTGTAGAGATGCATGAACCTTACACATTCCTCAACGGGCTGACCGTCACAGACATGGACGATCTGTTAGAGGACATAAAGGTTGGTGGCAATCCTACAATTAATCCAAAAGGGGCAAAGAAACTCAAAACGRGTAAAATAATTTATTACATTTCAGTGACTAGACCTTTTCCAACTGTTAGCGTCGTCGCATTTAAAAGTAACAAAGATGCAAAATGCAACACAGCATTTACAGTCTTCACACTAAAATAGTACACAATCCTTACATAAAGGTTCATCCAACCAGCAATAAACCAGTCATTTGCACTTTGCAGCTACATCAAAACAGATTATTGTTGTGTATGATCCCACTTTAAAGGACAATTAAGTTTAATGTTTAATGTAATGTTATGAAAAAAAATACAGTTTATTTAAAAAATCTTGTCACATTTTTGGAAAAGTGTGAAATGACTTCCAAATCACGTTATCTTTGATTTGGCAAATTTTGTCATGAAATATTATTTAATTGTGGAAGATTTTATTTTATTCATTTGTTTCATTCAGAAAAACAACAACAAAATAATCTATATTCAATAATAAAAAACAAGTAAAGCATGCTCTGAGTGAAAAGGCCTCAGAGGAAAGAAAAACATCTTGTTATTTTCAAAAAACAGGTCCAACAAAGAAACTCAAGATTTTCTCCTCCAAATTAAAAAAAAAAACATCATGTATCCATCATATCTCATTTCCACTAAATAGATTATTTTTTGTTTCCAAGTTTTATGCCTGTTCACACGGCAAGATTTAAACATTTTTGGTTGATTTTCAGAACCTCAGAGAGCCCACAGATAATGATTAAAAAATCATAAATAACAGGTTTGGTCCTACGGTGTGTGTGGTGTGTAGCCACACTACAAAATACCACACACAAACAGATTTCACTCACAGCTCATTTATCCTCTGAGCACATCATACTCTGGGATATCTCATTAGATTAGAGATTAGCTTTAGATCCATCACCATAATYGGGGTGTCCTTAAGATTGTCAGAAAGGCAAAATCGTGACAAAAATTGGCRTCCTGGTAATTATCTTGCTGTGTGAACCAGGCATGAGGTACAACTATGGGTACAGCTTGTGCCCTAATTTATGCAAATGTTTATATGTAGTGTATTTCKAAGGACATTTTATTTTTAATCTACTGAGAAACACACATTTGACCAAGATTATAGATGTTGCAACAAGTTTCTTTCTTAAGTTTTAACAATGTTCAGGGCTGCCACTTTTTAAAATTAGCTTATTGTGCAAATTTTATATTTTTATTTAAAATAAATCCTACATCAGTGTAAACTTGTGAGAATAGAAGTTGGATTTATTCTAATAAGTAAGGAAAGCTAGCTGTAACAAGAAACAACAGTCGTCTTTATGACAAATCCTACAAATTTGAAATTATTTATCTTGTGATCAGTAATACAGCCGGCCRTATCAAGACATATATTCTAAATCTTGCTGGAGCCTTCAGCTGTATCTTCTGTGTCATGTGGACTGATCTGCATTTTCACACCTGTGTTCTTAAAGTTGATTTACATGTCCTACTCTGACAACAAACTTTATCTGGTTCTGATTTTTTTTTTTTTTTGTCTGAAAGGTGTACATGGAACTGGAGCAAGGCAAGAATGTGGACTTCTGGAGAGACATGACGACCATCACTGAGGATGAGATCAGCAAACTGAGGAAGCTGGAGGCTTCTGGGAAAGGACCAGGTAATAATTTTTTTATGATGCTGTCATAGATTAATGGGTAACTCATAATCTGCTAAATAAGGGAAAAAAAATAGTGGAAGCTAGCGCTAAACAGTTAAATAAGAAAAACATTAGCTAACACTAAATGGCCCATTGTACTCGACCCAAAGCCGAACAGTCGATGTGCGCTCTTGTGGTTGTTTGACATTCGTTTTTGCACACACCTTTTTGTAGCTCTCTGAGCGCAGAGCTCCTGGGAAACTCCTCCCTTGGTGGTATACGTCACTGCACGGGGTCTCAGATGGCGGCCTTAACAGCTAACCGCTAACTGCTAAGACGACACTCAATCTGTGTCACACGTCTTTGTCTCCGCCAAGCTGAAGACWRGTGGGACTGACACAAACATGTTAGCTTGTGAGTTAACTGTTAGTGAACTCAAACTTGGCAAAAACTAATTTAGTAAAGCTAATTTGTCTGATGATGGTTTCAAAGTTTGTGGAAAAAGATAATTCGCTAAACAAAAAAATCAGTTCTGCTACTTGCTGTTAGCTAATTAGAGAAAACCATTCCTTCCACTGGTAGTAGAGTCCTTGTACTTACTGTAGATATATTTGAACACTTGCAGAATTTCTGTAATTACATGTATTTACCTGGTATTGTGATTTTTTTTCTTGGTTTTGGAACCTAAATACAGTGCCTTGTAAAAGTATTTTAGCATATTTTGTTTTTTGCCACCTAACAACTTGGAATTCAATTGGATTGTTTTAGGGTTTGCTTCATTTTATTTACAGAACATTCCTACAATTTTGAAATTTCTTTTTTATTTTATGTAAAAGACAAAATAACAGAAAATTTCAATAGCTATGTTCACATGGACATAAGTAATCAGATGAAACGGCCATTCGGAAAAAAAAAACGCGTCATGTAAACAGCCCATTCGGTTTATTCTGACCCGATTCAGCTCGATCCGAATTAATTTGTAATCGGAGCGAGAGAGGTGGTTTATGCCGATTGATAATCCAAACAGCATGCATGTCAACACATAATCTGATCATCTTATTCTGATTGTGGAAAACTGATCTAACTGCGCATGTCTGCTGACTTGCTGTAGTTTCCAGCAGACAGAACTGTTCCTCCCGTTCTCTTATTCAATAAAGAAGGAAGACACACAGCCTGCACCGCCTCGCAAAAAAAAAAGAAAAGAAAAAAAAAGTGTGTCCCCTGCAGCTGAACCAGAGAGTGCAGTAACGTCTCCACCATTATTAAAAGCTATCGCAGGTCCATTCTGAGCTCAGAAGCTGTTTATTTATGTTCATGACGAAAGTAGAACTTTTTTGTGTTGTTTTTTTTTTTTAGGGAAAGTTAGCAACTGCGCATGTCAGTGCTTCTATTCAGAATAAAAGCCCGGTGCATGTAAACACTCGTCATGATCGGATTGTGCCTATGTAAACGATACATTCCGATTATTTAATCTGAATACATTTCAATCTGATCAAAGAATTTTGCGCATGTAAACTTAGCTAATGTGCATAATTATTCAGTACTATGTAGAGGCACTTTTTGCAGAAATAATTTGCTTTGGATAAGTCTCTRTGAGCTTGCCACATCTTGCACGGCGCTATATATAAATAAAAAATGCACGTGTCAAAGTTTAGACAGATTTATTTCACRTGTTTGTTTTTTCTTCAGGCGATCGTCGCGAGGGCATCAACACAGCCGTCAGCACTGATGTTCAGACTGTGTTCAAAGGGAAAACGTACAGTCAGCTGCAAGCCCTGCACCTGAACATCGAGACAAAGATTCGGGCCGGAGGATCCAACCTCGACATCGGTTACTGGGAGAGTTTGCTGCAGCAGGTCCGGGTCTACATGGCCAGAGCCAGGTGTGGGCGAGCGTTTTCTGCCTTTTAAAACCTTTTTCATACACGAGGCTGAAAGCTGCACGAGTCATCCTCAAATAAAAGTTCAAATTGTCTTTTGTTAAACAAACCTAGTTTGTTTTATACGAGAGAATAATAAAAAAATAAAAATAAAATCTTCTGATCCAGGTTGAGAGAACGCCATCAGGATGTTCTGCGTCAGAAGCTGTTTAAGCTGAAACAAGAACAAGGAGTGGAAAGTGAGCCTTTATTCCCCATCATCAAAGAGGAGCCGAGTGAGGATGATGAGTAAGTTATATAATGTAGATCCTCACTGAGCTTGTATAGTTGTCAAAAATGATCAATTCAAAAAACTCTTGTTCTTCCTTTCGAGGACAAGCTGTCTCTTCACTTATAAAAAATAAAAACGTTCATGTTCTGTGACAGGGAGAGAACGAGGGACCGTRCAGCAGAAGATGGCGGTCCGTCTGYGTCGAACTCCAGAAGTAAAAACAGAGAAACGACAGAGGGGGAGGACGAGGAGGCTCGTCCATCCACATCCGGGGCAGGAGGTCGAGACGAGGATGGAGGAGAGAAGAGCAAAGGGAAGGATGAGGAGGGGAAGGAGGAGGCGGTGGAGGCCGTGTTGACAGAAGAGGACCTGATCCAGCAGAGCCAGGCGGATTACGACTCGGGTCGCTACAGTCCCGCGCTGCTCACGTCCTCCGAGCTGCCGCTGGACACTCACACCATCACGCCAGAGGAGGACACGCACAGGCTRCAGTTAGCCCGCCGGCAGCTCCAAGTCACCGGTACGAGACTTTGTGCTCAAACTCCACGTTAGAGTCGAACCGTTTGCTACGTTSATCTTTACTAAACTGTTTGTTTATTTTAGGGGATGCTAATGAAAGCGCAGAGGACGCCTTCGTACGCCGCGCCAAGGAAGGCATGGGCAACGACGAGGCCCAGTTCAGCGTGGAGATTCCAGTCTCGGGGAAAATGTACCTGTGGGCGGACAAGTACCGCCCCAGGAAGCCTCGCTTCTTCAACAGGGTCCACACGGGCTTCGAGTGGAACAAGTACAACCAGACTCACTACGACTTCGACAACCCGCCGCCCAAGATCGTCCAGGGCTACAAGTTTAACATCTTCTACCCCGACCTGATCGACAAGCGCTCCACCCCTCAGTACTTCCTGGAGCCGTGTCCCGACAACAAGGACTTTGGAATCTTACGGTTCCATGCGGGTCCKCCGTACGAGGACATCGCCTTTAAGATCGTGAACAGGGAGTGGGAGTACTCGCACCGACACGGGTTCCGCTGTCAGTTCGCCAACGGGATCTTTCAGCTGTGGTTCCACTTTAAGAGATACCGTTACAGGAGATAGAGAACCTACCTGTTTGGATCAAATCCTCAGGGACTGGATTCCACACATGTATATTACATTCTTTTGGTTCGTTAATCTGTTTTGTGTTTTTAGCTTTACGGCTACARTCACTGTACTGTTGTCTAAAAAGATCCATTTTCTCAGTAGTCTGTTGATTACATATTAAAGTGTTTTTTTTAACCACTTTGCCCCCTGCCACTGATTGATGGTTCTATTGTAATTACAGATATAACATATACAAAACATTTTTACACTTAAAATTGAAGCAACAAAGGTTTTTATAAATTTTGTAAGAAAATTGTATTAAACAAAATTGGATTTTACAACAAACATTCAGAACTGTTTCACAACTGTAGATGACATCCAGAGGTGTATAGTAACGTACATTTACTTTGTTAGTTGAGTAACTGCATTACATTTACTCAACTTAGTGGAACCAGTTGGCTTAACTTGGTTAAGTCAATTCAACACTTCATTTTCAGAGTGCATMTAAAAGTACTTTTACTTTCACGATTATTGTGAATAGTTTTATTATTTAGTACTTGTCCTTATTCATGAAATTCATTTTTATCTGTCATTTTTGTTCAGATATTTATTACTTAGTAATTTTTTCAAGTAGCCTACTTTATACACCTCTGGTGACATCTGCATTTCACATTTTTGCTGAAGACACACAAAAAAAATGATATCAAGCAAGGACAACATAAAAAAAATGAAATAAAAATCTTTCCAGCTAGSGTTAGAAGCGGCTCAATGGGAGTACAACAAAATCCCTGTGATCTTTAAGGAACTGAAAACTGAACAACTTAACACATTTTAAAACCTATGAAACAAATCAAAATGATGCTCATTTACAACGAAGATAAAAAAATGTGCTCAATTTCAAATGTTAACAGTCTTAATAAACAAACAACATTAAACTTGGATCTTGTAGGTTTGAACTCAAGCAGCCCAGTTGAACCAGATATTCAGTAGTACTGCTTAGAAAATGTAAATTCACTTTAAGTTTCCTGTTCATGTGGAACTCAGTAAAACCGATCCTGCAGTGGGAAAAAACCTTGGCGTGTTGTGAGTCGTTTCATGAGAAGATGAGATTTTCAAAAGGCATTTAGCAAAGAATAAAAGGACCCAAACTCAAGTCTACTCAGATGTTTGCAATCATTTTTAGGAAATACAAAGGTTACCGACAGCATTTTGACAGAACAGATAGCTAAAAATCTGCAGGCTGGGACATTTGCCTCTTACCAAAACAAACAAAAAAAGTGATTCAGAATATGTGGAAATGTTTCAGAGGAGAGYTTGCACAACAGCCTGAGAATGTCCCAGAAGTCAAAGCTTGTTACAGCATGAAGAAAAGCTGTCCTCCTCACAATCTGCTCATAACTTGAAGAGTTTAAAAGCTGGGATACTTACAGATGAAGATGTTATTAACTGTAAATCTTGAAAATATTGGCTAAATGTAAAATCTTCATGCCTTTTGAAAATCGAGTCATCTTTAACCCACGTATTCTCTGCATCAACTTCCTGACTCATCATTACATTAATTACTGTTACTCTGGATCACTGAGGGTCCCCACCTCCACCAGTGTGGTTGTTGTTGCTGCTGCTCGATGCCTCGGACATCAGGGGCTTGTCCTCATGGGGTTCAGGCCTCGCCGTAGAGTTTACAGCCACCTCCTCATCGGTACGCTGAGCTWCATCCCTTTTCTCCTTTAAACAGTTCCAGGGCAGAGGTATGTGTTCTTTGTAAACATTCCAGGCTAAAAGAGCAACGAGACAAATAACAAGAAGAGCAACTGCAGCCTGCAGTCCAGCAACAGGCGGGCCGTCGGTCACTGGCTCAGCAATAGAAATCAGGCGGTCCTTGCCCGTGTCCGTTGAGTTGACGCTGACCTGGTAATCAGCTACGAAGGTCATAAATTCACCAGCTTTGGAGYGCTCCACAAACAAACAACGGTAGTGACCGGAGTGGCTAACTGTGGTGTTCAGAATAACCAGCTCATCTGGCAAAATCTGATGATGAGGCGAGAACGTGAGGACGCTTTYATTATGCTCCCATCTGACTTTTGTCAGCTTCAAAGGCGAAGGACAGCTGAGTCTAAGTTGATCACCTGGTGAGACGGACCGACTCACCGGATCAGCAGGGTCTGAAATCAAAACGGACAGACACAAATTTTAATTTACCAACCAACAATCAGGCCTGTCATGATAAACTCTGAGTGGATTTTGAGGGAACACACAACAGCAGCCACTGAAGCTGTAACATCACTACGCACCTCTATCCAAGCTGGCACAGTTTATTCTTGGTCTTCCTATGCCTTCTAAAATAATTGCGGTAACCCACACACTGCTCAAAAAGTTTACTAAATTTACGTAATATAAAACAACAACAACACACACTTCAGCACAGTGTCCCAAGGAGTCACAAGCTGAAAATGAAGATGCTCCTCTGGCTAAATATCTGTTCACAGGACTCTCATGCTACTGAGGTTAGAGACCATGCACCTGGCAAGTGTTTACTCTGCCCTAAAGACTAGAAAAGAGGGAGACACAAAGAAAACAAACAAACAAACAAAAAAGAAAGTTATCAATCTTACTTTAATTTATCACGTAAATGATGGATTTATTCCTTATCGTGACAGGCCTACCAACCATAAACCACCTTAAAATCTTGCAAACCCAGCAGCCTTAATAAAAAAATCAACATCGGTACACACTGACCACATGTACAAGTATACACTGACTCACCAGGATCAGGACAAGGAGAGGCATCTCCTTCTGTCACACTTTGGATTACCTCTCTAAAAATAAAAAAATAAATGCAAATTTAGTGTTAAAGGTTAAATTCTGCTTCCACCGCACATCTGGAAATCTGCTACTTACCTTTGTGAGCTGGAAAGGAAAACGCATTTCTTCTCAGTAGTGTCCCAGCCACAGTACGGGTCTCTGGCTAAAACACAGTCCACACAGGATGAGGACCGCTCACAATTAGCGCGTGGAATCTGAGCCGCTCCAGAGTCTGAGCCGACGTAAATCTGACCCTGCAGCACAAAAAATATACAAAACAAGAACAGTGACGTAACGTACATCTGAAGAATTGATTTCCATTGCTGTGGTACTTCAGACCACTTTTTAATGGGCTCGGTCTTGTCTCGGACTCAACCGCATTTATACTCCATCTTGTCTCGGTCTCGGACATTGAGGACTCAAGACTTTATTTCAAGACAAAACCACGACTGTGGAAATATCACTAAATTGCCAGAATACTGTCCAATTTTTTGTTAACATCCTTTCACTTTGCTTTTTTCTCGACTTGGTCCAGCCCCTAAAAGTCTTGGTCTYGATACACCCTGGTCTTGGTCTTGACTACTTGAGTTAGATGGTCTTCACTATAACACTACAGATCTCAAAGATATACAACGGTTTTAAATTACCGTGAGGTTAGAAAATTTGATGATCTTGATCGGCTGAGGAGGCTGGAAGAGTTGGACTTCTTCTATGGTGAACATCTCTCCATCGTAGTTCACAGCTTTCAGCATCGTACCCTTCTCTGAATAAAACAACACATTTGGTCTTGTGTTTTAACAGTGAAATGAAAGCATAAGGTTTTAAAAACAGGTAGTGAATAAACATTAAACACACACCTGTGGCTATAAACATGACGTTGTAGTTTTGTCCGTCTGCAGCTTGAACTTGGTCGACAATGATTCGTGTGAATTTAACCCCTCTTCGTATCAGCAGAGGTCTCCCGTCTATTGGCTCGATGGCCTGGTCCATGAGGGGCTTATCTTTGACAAACTGTAGGGTCCGGTCCGGGAGGTCCAGGCTCCGATTTATGCCTAGACTGCGAGCCTTTTTGTTTATACACTGATGAAGAAGGAAAGGTACAACACAGTGAGAACTTCCTGCTGAGCCACCTCCACACACAGCTTGAACACAGAGCAGACTCACAGCTCCGGGCCGGGGGACGGGCACCTCTCCACTGTACATCACCCACTTAACGAAAGAAGTTTCTACAGGAACTGGGGTCTTGTACTTCCCCTCTGAAAACACTTGGCTGATGGCAGACATGCTGTACGCACAAACTGCAGACAGATCTGAGAGCTCCCTGAAACACACACACTCTCAGTCAACGGTCTAAAAATACTCAAGGGTTAAAGTCCTCCTGAACGTACGGTTGTGACGTGAAGACGGCGTAGAAAACACAGTTTTTCCAGTTCTGCTTGAAGCCACACCACAGGTATGAGTCCTGGATAACGAAAGGCAGCTGGGAGTTCAGAACTGGACAATCTATTCTGGTCTTAAGGAAGGACGTCCACTTTTTTTGCAAAGTCCTCTGACCTCCAACATCCCCCTGTGGGCACAGAGAAAGAACATTACCCCTCAAGGACAAACAAARARAAGCGTAATCAAGCAGCGGAAACGGCACGACTAGAGCCGCTGAGGAAGCGCCGTTCATGCGTTATTGTCTCTGACCTTGCACACACGGGCCACACGAGGGACCACCAGTTTACTGTAGCTGTCAAACTCCACAGCTGTCTCGCTGAAGAAGAGGTACACCTTGTCATCATCTCCCTCCTCACTCTGCTCACTCTCAGGGACCCAGGCCATAGAAACAAAGTTGGGCTCTGGCATTTAAAAAAAAAGAGAAAATCATTCAAGGAGATACATCATGCTTTTAAATCCTTCGTTTTCACATTTAAATCATCCAGTTAGGGTCTATATCAGAGCTATTCAACTGGCGGTCCGCGGGCCGAATATGGCCGCGAGTGATCAAAGTTCGGCCCGCCAATTGTTTCATTCATCTCTTGAGCCCAAACCCCCAGTTTTCTACTTTAATTACTCTAAGGCCCTTTAGTTAAACATATACATGTTTGTTATCTACAGAAATGTCAGAATCTTGGTTACAAGCTTGTAAAAACCATTTCTATGAACATTCAAGACAGTTAAATTTACAAGCAGTAGAATGTAAAATTATGAAAGTAAAAATAAAATTGGTTTAAAAATTTGGCAAGTCGAGATGTCAAAATATTATTTGTGTTAAACAGGAGGCATAATGTGTTAATTTTCATACTGTTTAATTATCACCACTTCTATAGGGTTCTGTATGTTGTATTTATGATTAAATACAGCAAAATAAACTATTTCAAAGGTAACAGATCTTTGTAATACTTGGTTTATTTACATAATGCCTTTAAGTGCTGGATGTTCGGCCCCTGAGCTGTTGGCCTACAGTAACTGTGGCCCCCAGAGCAATTTAGTTGAATAGCCCTTGTCTATATGAAGTGGAACTGCAATGCGTTGGTCTGAATTCCTCATTGTAACTCAACAAGTGGTACATTCTAGTTTTTAGAGGACTTTACAACTATCCTCTGGCATAGAAACATTTTATTTACAAATTAATTAAACGGCTCATCCCTCCAGCTACAATCTGACCCAGAGTGAGAGGAAAATGAAGATGATGAAACTAACGTCCAAATCTTAAATGTCTGTTCCGTCGCAAATACTGTGACGTACTAGTTCAGAAATCGTCATAGAAAATAGAAAAAAAAAAAACTGGACGAGTTGAAAAATATGACCCAAACAGATTCTAAAGATTTCTACGCAGCACCAGGAGAGACTAAATTCTAATTTTCTGCACTCCTAGAGACTCCAAGTGCACAACAAAATGCATTTAACAGCTAAAAATTTAATTTTACTTGATAAAATAGAACAGCTCCCACAGAAAAAGTATAAAAGTGACGTCTTACCGTGAAGCCAGGAGGTTTTGAACTCGGTGCGTATGGGGTCAGGACGAGTGCTGTGCATCAGGACGGGCTCAGAGCCGAGGAAGTTCATGGAAGTTGCTGAGTAGAGGCTATCATCTGGTGGGAAGGAGAGAAAAAAAAACACACACACACATGAAAACAAAGCTACTTCAAAGTTTTACCTGTTTGCGCTTCTGGATCCACAACATCTACTCACCAACCATGATGGAGGCATATTTCTGGAAAGGATCAAACGGGCACTTTCCTTTGCCATCCTCTAACGTCCCTTCAAAACTCAGCTTTCCATTTGCATATTGCTGACTCAACAAACACATTGTTTATTATTATCATTCTTCTGTGTGCGACCATGATTTTCATTATGAAAAACCAAACCAAACACTCCAACTGATAGGAAAAATGGACTTTATCTCACCATGTTTTGACATTCTGGATCAAAAGCGTTAGTTCCACACACGTACATTTGTCCGTTCTTCATCTCGTGCAGGACTCTGATATAGTTCTTGCACTCTGTCTGKAAATATAGCAAAGCAAGACAGAGAGAAAGAGAGAACGGTTCTGATTACTGTAAAAAAGCTTTCAGTGGTAAAAAGGTGTAACTCAAGTGACCAACCTCTCGATCCTTTCCTTTGTTTTCACAATCTTTTACTTGGGTTGGAGTAACTTTCCAATCCACCTACAACAGAGAGTTTGAATATTTTTAGTTTCTATAACTGYAGTCATTTTATCYATTATCTTCCACTTATCCAGGGTCAGGTGGCGTCTGGCCAAGGGAACATCTTTTCCACTGGTATTACTCATCATAAAGGGCTGCACTTCCCTCACCTAGGACCTGTTTGCATTGGACTACCCTGCAACATAGATCCTATAATTTGTCATATAAGACAAACTTGTTTTTAGCTTTAGCACAATTTTATTTGACAGAATCTGAACTATTGTTCAAAGCTTGTCCTGATGCATCTCAGTAATCCAGGTAAAAAGTCAAAAAGAAAAAAATTGTATAGGTCTTCTGGACGGGTTCTTCTCTAATGAAACGTGTCTCTCCTCCAAGAGACTTCTTCGGTCTGAGAGTTTCAGGCGAAATTCAGGCTTTTAAGCACTGCCTCCATGTGACTGATACACTCTTTCAGAGATGAGGATGTTCTCAGTCTTGATAGAGAGGAACGTTGGTTTGAGAGAGGAGTAAAAGAAGCCATTTTTGTGAAGAAAGAAAACAGAGGTGGAGGCCTCCGTTTTCAGTCGTCCCCCTCCTACAGTGCTGCTATTGCCAGTATCACTCCACCCCCTGTTAACAATAGGTGTTAACGATAGCCATGTGATGTGAGTATCAGTCACATGGAGGCAGTGCTTAAAAGCCTGAATTTTGCCTGAAACTCTCAAAGAAGTCTCTTGGAGGAGAGACGAAACGTATCATTAGAGAAGAACCCGTCCAGAAGACCTATACAATTTTTTTTCTTTTTGATTGTTCAAAGCTGTTTGTTATAAATCATTGTCACCCCGAGGCGAGCCTCTCAGGCTGCATTCTCTCTACATCAGAGATTTGTCTGATCATAATAAAACCCAGCTGCTGATTGAGAAGCTTGCATCAGAGCAAGGCGCGTCACAATACAAAGATTTGCACCTCTGGACTAAAAGCACCGTGATAAGCAAATAAAATAAARTAAAAATTGGCTTCAATATGATCAATAAAAGGCGTTCTCACTGAGTCGTGTTTATTGGAGATGTCGCTGAGGTTGAGGGCGAACACAACCTCCCTGGCACCCAGCACCAGCAGTCCCAGGTCTTCTCTCAGCAGCATGGTGGTGTAGTTGAAAACGCCGTCCTCTCGGAACTGAACGGCAYTGTTGCCTAGAGAGAACGTAAGTCCTTAACTCAGCAACCAGTTCAAAACTTAACACCACATGAAGCTGACAACTGAAAGCTGAGGATACGCTGGAGAAAGAGCAACACTCACTATGATAGGGCACGGATTTGCGTGGGACACTGCTCGGCGCTGAGCTATCCTTGAGCATCAAAGCCACGGGCAGCAGCCAAAAGACACCGAGGGATAGAAGTGGATGCATGGCTCCTTTGTTCAATCCTAGAGGAATTTAGACTTTATTGTTTCCAAAACACTCATTCATACAGGGATAAAGGCAGCAGCGAGCGGCATCTWTGACGTGATGAAGACTGTAGGGCAGCGGCCCCTTCACTGGCCCCGCTCAGCAGGCTGTCCATGATGAGATGGATGGCACAGACCGGAGAAACAAARCCAAGGAGGGCTGAAACAGAGATAGTTGCATGAATATCATCATCAGTTCACCAAACATGACACCTGAGAGAGACGAGGTTCAAAATGTGAACAGCAAACACACATATGAAACAAAACAAAAAAACTTTACAGATGATTAAATAAAGGAAATAAAAAGTAATAGCCAGAAAGGGCAGCGTGAGCTAAAGTCAGCGCAGCAGTATATCTGTCAGAGCCTTAGTGATGTTAATGCAGAGCCGTGAAAGGCATTCAGCACAGATTTACACAAGTTTCACCACAAAGCTGAAGCAAGAAGAGAGGCACTTTGGTTCCAGGAAGGAAACTGGTTTAACATCTTATTTTTTTTTTATAAAGCAGATGAGTATAACCCATGATTAAACTGTGGGACTGCACTGATACTAGAACAGCTGGGGGGTTTGGGTGTGTGCTGTAGGAGCAAAGATGAGCCTCGGCATGTCAGAGAATGCGGGCTCCAAATGATGTTTTCACATACTTTGGTTCTGGGGCCAGAGCCAACTTCACTCGGCACYACAAATACACACAAATACACACAAACCTTGGTAGTTTTTGTGCACCAAAACAAACCGGAAATCAGTCAAACGCATAATACTGTATATTTAGGAGGAAGTTAGTACCTTATTTGTTTTATTTCACCTATTTTTATTAATTAAAACTACATTACACGACGCCATTCAGCTTTAAATACAAACGTAAGCTGTCTTAGTTAAAGTTGATAAAGTGTAAAGATTAGCTAAACGTCAAGAGTTGCTGTCAGGTAAGAATCACTTACCTGCGAAACTCGCTCAAAACACCGGAAGCTCCCTTTTAGATCATCTATACACCTGTTTTAGGCCCAATTTAAAACAGGTTTCCTCTCCAGTAAAGAAAAAAAAAGCACACAAGAAGAAATGTATATGGGATAAAGTGCAGCCTGGATAATGTTTTACCGCGTCTGGTTTCTTGAAGAAAAAAAGCACCGTACCCCCAGTCCTCACCGGGTGTTTTCTCAGCCCGCAGCCGTCCTCTGTCGCTCTGTATCCCGCCTCTTAGCGCTTCATACCCCGCGGTTAAAGTAACGAGTCCTTTCTGTACCGGTCCGACCGGCAGGGTTTTAGTTTTTTTTCTTTTTTCTTTGTCGTTCTCTTCCTTCAAACAGCCGTGAGCACTGAGCGAGGCGCTGCTGGAGAAGTTTGCATTGTTCAGACACGATCCTGGACCAGGTGCAGGGAGCAGAGGCTTCAGGGTGGAGGAACAATGGAGCCCTCGCCCCACCTCTCACTACAAGGGCCTTAATGATGAATGCATGTTTTAATTACCTGGTAACACACACACACACACACACACACACACACACACACAC